GAAAAAAAAAAAAAAAAAAAACAAAAAAAAAAGATTATTAATAATACTTCAAATCTCATATTACAAATCAAATGTAAATTCGATATTATATGTGCAGTATTATTAACGTTATTTACAAATAACTGTTCTATGGAATTAAGCGAATTCAAGTAATTTATTTATGTTGTTTGCACATCGGCAAAATATTTATTTACGGTTTTGTCTTCTTTATGAAAATATTTATTGAATAGAGATGTTCATCACCTACGCCTAAAATCAAATTAATATTTACCAATAAATATGAGAGGAAGGTTCTTACCGCACCTATCAAATATCAAAAGATCCACCCATGAAATGTTTTGCTTATCTGATGCAACGTACAAATATTGTACAAACAGTATCTACAGGGAAAATTATTCAAGATAGCGGACAAGGAATATAAAAATGTGACACAATTCGTTAGCCCTAGTGATAAACTTGATGAACACGGCAGAATATCTTCTGTATATGTATTGTGGTTCAAACCATAAAACACTTACTATTGGACAAGTCAAGTTGTAACTGAAAGAAACAAATTAATGAATGAATGTAATTTAGAGCGAGGGGATCAATTGTTTCGCGTCTTATAAATATTATAAAGGAAAAAACTTAATAAAATATGGATTTAGATTAACATTATCTATAACCTATAATGGATTCAAAAGAAGTTACGCAGGCATTCACAATCAATTCGGATTCGAATTTTGGAACGAAATTATTTACGGCATTAAGGTTTTTACGGCATTTGATATTTGTAGTAATAAGGTTTTACGGTAATCCCAATTTAGTGAATTGTTGATTGATGCATCATTTATTCGAACTTTCACCTAACCCCGTTACAACAATGCAGTTTTTCTGCGTCCAAACCATTAGGACTATCTTAATAGTAAAATTATCGATACTTTTTGAATTCCGCATAATCTAGCATAGCCCTATTATTGCTAACCCTTTTATTGCCTGAGAAGATTTCGGATTATGACAATTATTATTATTATTATTTTTTATCAACTCTTCCAAAAAAAAATAAATAAAAAAAATAAAAAAAATAATGTAGATCTTAAATGAATCTATTATTGATTAAGTTATAAACAATTTAAATTTTAATGAAATTAAATACTAAGTTAACATTAATAATAATACATTATGCGCGCTTAATTTTATTAAGATTATAGTTAATTATTATTTTAATAATAATGCTCATTTAAACACCGGGAAAATTGTATTAAATAATTTGATTAGCACGCTACATGACATATCCTTAAAAGGTTCGTAGATTTGTAGATCTATAAAAAAAAAAAAAAAAAGGTAACCAAAAAGTATATAAAAAATAAATATTGTAAATTAAAATAGCGGTAAATCACGGAATAATTGTATAATAATTACATTATATATTCGGTATTCTGAATAAAAAAGTACATCGTAAAACGAAGAATTGAATTAATGTTGTGCTTGCCTTGGCGGACGAAAAAAAAATAAATATGATTTGAGGAAAAAATGAGATAAAAAAGGGGAAATTTTTTTTTTTTAAAAATAATTCGGAATTTCGTTTTAACGAAATTGGTATACGGAAATTCCGGTCGAACTTTTTTTTTTTCGAATATGACTTTCTTTTTTCCAACGCACGGGCAAAACTTGAAAAAGAAGTACATTAAAAAGCACAAAAATAATGTAAGAGTTCATATATAGTCAAGATTTACTATTGCATGATCTGTTGTGTATAATGAGTAAAGAGAAAAAGACCCTTTTACAGCTTGTTTTTCGCCTTTTTTTGGGTTTATTTCATCAGTTTCGAAAGACCCGGCCGAAAATTGGTTGTATTTTTTTTTTCATTCTTGTTTGAAAACTTGATTTTTTTTTATTAAACCGGAAATTATGGTAAAATTCTTGATTTATTAGTTATTTAGTGTTCATCCATTAAAAATTAAAATCGTGGAAATTTAAAATAATGAAACTATAAATCTATAAAGGCCACGCGATTTAAGTTTGGTTTGACGTTACATTAAAATATTTAAATAATATTTTTTCCGGAAGCAATTTTTTCGGAAGATTTAAATCAAGATCTTTTTTTTTTTTTTTTTTTTTTTAAAAAAAAAAATGATTTACTTTTGAATTCCTCATAAGGAGGGCCGTGAATGAAATATATTATATATAAATTACGCAATTTGTACATTTTATAAGTGAATAATGTAACACCACCGCTCAAATCATTTTTTTAAAGTTTAGTTTTAATATTATGTATTATCTTATTAATTTGTTTGATTTTCTGACAAAAAAAGTTCTTGTTGCTTAACGTGCATCATACGCGCGATTTCTGCAGGTTATAAATTCTGCAACGAACTGTTTATTTGCATCGCCACATTCCTCCTTTGGGTATTATCCAAAGTAATGACGTCAGTTTCCACAAAACCAGACTTCTCTCATTTATATAACTCCTCTTCCATCGTTTTTTTTTTT